GAAAGCACAAGGACCTGAGTTTGATTCCCGGTACCAAAAAAAGAATAAGGGCAATAATTGAAAGGAGGTATCATCTACACAACACAGTGTTTCAATGTCAAGTTTTGGTAATGGTAATTTTCAAGGATTTTCAAGTCAAGCTCAATATACTTCTATCATGCATTCCCTTGCTCACTGTTATGGTCTGGGTCTAGATGTCCCCCCAAAGCCTCCTGTGGTCATAAGCTTGATCCAGAGTATGTGAAGCTGGAACTGATTCATGATGCAACGCTACGCTCAAGCGCACTAGGATTAAGGATGTGAGTGCTACCCTCTAAGTGGTCTGAATAAGGTAAAAGGTGCAGGGAGGTGCAGCTAAGATTCCCTTGTTGCCTTTGTTACCTTGTTTGCGCCATGTTGTTTCTCCTCTGCAATGTTTGTTTGCCATCCCAGCCTCCGAGCCGGCAGATTATAGACTGAAACCTCTATGAACTGTAAGCCAAATGAACCCCTTCCCCTCTAACTTTGGGGGTCGGCCATTTTGTCTCAGCAACAAGAAAGGTAACTAACACACTCCCTTTTGTGCAAATCATCATAGTCATTATAATATCCAGACAGCCACCACTTGTGACAAACCACAGTAAGGCCCTTATGGAGACACAAAGGTATTCTCATGTACACTCACAGCACCTAACTGAATGTGTTTTATGATATAAATATACAGCAGCACAGCACTAGGACTAAAAGTTCTGTGACTGGGGCCAGTCGATCTGGGTTCAAATATAGAGGACAGCACTTGCTTCCTATGTGACCTTAGGCAAGTTATTTACTTCCTCTTGCCTCAATTTCCACATCAATGATGTGACAAAAATAATAGTAGCTACTTGCTGAGCTACTATGACAAATGTGTTAATTTATCTGACTCCTGATAAGCACCATTCAAGTATTTGCTATTACCCAATAAATGCTAGCTATGTAAAATAAGGACATATATATTCTCAGTTTAAAAATAAATCCAAATTACTTTAAATATGTAAGACTTTACACTAAAATTCTCAAAGCACTGCTGAAACTGAAGATGAGCTAAATAAATGGAGAGATTTATGTGTTCACAGACCAAAAGACAATACTGTTAAAATATCACTTCTTCTGTAATTAATCTACACTTTTTATGTAATCCCAATCAAAATCAGGGCTGATTCTCAATTTCATGTGCTAAGACTAGCCAAAATACAAATTTTGAAAAGAAAGAATACTCAGACTACCTGATTTCAAGATTTAGTACATGGCTACAGTAAACAAGGCTGAGCAGTAGCAAGAAAAATGAAACCAAATGTCCATATGAAGACCTGAATATGAATGTTCTTAATAACTGTGTTCATAATAGCCAAAAAGTGGAAACAACCCAAGTGTCCATCAATGGGTAAATGGATAACATGTAGGATAACCATACCATGCAATACTGGTCAGCAACAAGAGAAAGAAAACACTCAACATGGATGACTCTCAAATAATTCTGCTAAATGGAAGAAGCCAAACCAAAAAAGACTACATTCCTTTCCTACAAATTTCTAGAAAATGCAACCTACTCTACAGTGACAGCAAGCAAACCAGTGGTTGCCTAGAAACAGGGTGGGGGGAGATTGATTACAAAGGAGCAGGAGGAAACTTGTGCAGTGATGACTGTGGTAGTGGTTACACAACTATACATACTTGTTAAAACTCATTAAATTGTACACTTAAAATTGGTGAATTCCATTGTATAAACTATGCCCCAATATAAATAAATAGATCCTAAGGCAGTAAGCACTGTCTTTTAAGAATAAAAGCTTACCTTATGCTTTCCATACTTATGAAAAAAATACAGGCGAGAACTAACCATTCACTTAACACTCTTGAGAAAGGTACATTACAATCTGTGAATTTTGCAAACTTAGCATGATGAAACAACCAAAAGCATGGTTCCTTTATATCCGTGTCTCCTTCAACTAAAATATCAAGGGAAATTTACATAAGAATTTTCCAATTCTGAGTTAGGTTACTAATTCTAGATAAAAATTAAGAAGCAACAGAGAACCTATTAGCATGGTGGTGACTAGCCACAAAGTTATCTAAGCCTGCTAGATTCCAGAAAATTCCAAAAAATAAAAAAAATACAAAGGAGATTTAAGAAGATGAAAGAGCATTTACACTATCTAACATTTCACACTGGTACTTCCAATGATTCTAATTCTGTTCCTACAGAATTAACTCTGCAAAGGTCAAGAGCATAGAAATTGTTCGTTAAAGCTAGAATTAAATGGGTAGTAGGAAACATACAGAAAACACTCCTAATTTTTATCTCATGAAGTTCTCAGGGGAGCACTACTTACCTCATTAATTCTCCTGAGCAAAGATGTTTTTCTCCTAAACTCTCAAAAAATAATAAATATTTTACGTGTTTTATAATAATAGGCACAGTTATTTTTGAAGTATATCTCCATGTTGACCCTCAAGCTTTAAATTTAAAAAACAAATCTTTAACATAAGCAATAAATGAGGACAGAAACATTTATAGGGAGAAAAAAGGCAGTGTAAGCAATTTTCAAGTTCAAATAACCACACAATATATAGCATCCATATTATATGCATTGGGTTATTTCTAAGGCAATGTGCTCCTTCATCTTCTCATTTAAATTGTCATAAAAATTCATTCAATAGATAGCTCACAGCTTAAGATATTTAAGATCTGAATTTGGTCAGCCTTTCCTTTTGCAAAGCAAGAATACAAATAATTATCATACTCAGTGCTCCAGACACAATGAGTATGCTACCTTCTAACTTTAATGCTTCTTACCTTCAATGCTTCTCTCCTTTTCTGGATCCTTCCCATCTTTCACCACACGTCTTAACTGGTTCATATTCCCTGACCCCTTGAGCCAAAAGCAATCTGTCTTCTGAATTCCCACAGCTCTCTTCCATAGTGTCTCATGACACTTAACACTTTCCTGTACTATTATACTTCTGCAAGTACAGGAAATTCTGTTCTGCCCTAAGTATTCTTAAAGGAAGTTCGATGCTCTACTCCATCTGCCTTTGTATCTTCCATGGTGCTTAGTGCCTGGAACTAAACACCCATTGGGTACCCTGTCTAGAATAGCGAGGCAACGTTTTTAAGCACCATGCACCATGCACTTGCCTCAACAGATATGAGAAAACTACTATCAATGATCTACTAAGAGACATCAACATGTAAACAGACTAATACGATTTTGCTAAGTGTCACAGTAAGGGATAAACAGGGTGGTGGTAAGAGGACCATCACATCGTTGAACCTTCTTCTGATCCCATAAACTACATGGTATGACACTGAGATCTGTATTTATGAAGTTCTCGTTGACCAAAAAGGTTTCAAGAGAGTATAATTAGAGTCCGGTAACGTCATAAAATTTCATACGCAACCTGAAACTAACACTCCACCTACATGATCACCTTACTTGCAAACAGGGAGCAGCAAATTTCTATCTCTGTGAAGCAATCTGCAATAACCGCACCTGGTCTTCTCATTATCTTCATCAAACATGCTCATCGCATCACGTCATCTGTCTGACTGTGCTCCATTTCCACGTGCCACGCGCCACTCACAGGGCCCAAACTTTCCTCACCCAAATCTGCTTAACCTTTAAGGTTCTTCTCAAGGCCTGCTTCCTGAATTCTCTGTTATGGTACACAGGAATAGCTACATTTTTCAAAGGTATACTGTTCTCTTACTATTTAATCTGTACCTCTCTTCTTTCAAAATGAATAATGATAAAATTAATTTGTACCATATTATGTATCTTGGAGTTATGCAGAGCTGGTTCTAAATCCCACACCTGCTATTGCTATGCCCTGCAAAGTTGAGGAAGTTACTAAATTTCCTTGAAACTCAATTTCCTCATCATTAAAATAAGAATTAAAGTGGGTGATGTATACAAAATGTTCAGCATTACTCATTACAAAAGTAATGATGTTACTATTTTTACTTTTCTAGAAGGGAGATGCAGACTCCAAACTGAAGATGAGCAAGGATAAACCGAAGCATATACTAAAATTTGGATCAGTTAATGTAAAGCAGCCTCACAACTTTTAAATGTACCCTCGCATAATGTACCCAAGGTACATTTTCTACTCAGTCTCCTACTAGAAATTATGCAAACCTCTACAAAAAGACATACAGCCCAGATATACAGATCCAAGGGTGCAGGCCTGACACTGACATCTTTCCCAAGAATTATGAGCCTCCTGCAAACCTGACGCTGAATAATAAAAGGTGAAGAGAAGAAATGCCTTCTATTGCATAAGCCAAAATAAATAAGTTAATTTTTTAAAGTGTGCATTATTCCTCCAGTGCAAGCAAAACCACTTCTGCAAATTTCATTGTAAGAGAAAGTCCAAATGGGACAGAGGCTGAGTCATCAATTGAAAGCCATCAAGCACGTCTCTGTCCCAGAATGGGGCTGCACCGGACCTACTCCAGCGGAGCCCGCCACCCCGCACGCAGCCACTGCCCCGCCTTCCCCGACCCCACGCGTGTCCGGCCCCGAGGCGCGCCCAGCCCCACTCTCGCCTCTGTCAGGTACCCTCATCCCGGTCCTCAGCCCTGCCCCTGGGTCCCAATCCAGGCTTCTTCCCCAGCCCGACGCCACCACTTACCCGGGCGGTGACCTTATACACAGTGTAGCCCCTCGGGTGTCGCTGGGGCTCGGTGACAGTGTAGAAACGAGCCAGGTCGGCACTGCGTTCCCGGGGAGCTGTCATCCTCCCTCCGCCTCTGCCGCCGCCGCCGGCCTGGAATCATCGAGGCGATCCAGAGCCCCCGCGCTCCGCGTCCCCACGCAGCCGCCGAGCGACAAGGGGGCGGCGGCTCCACGGCGGCGCTCGGCCGCACGGCTCTGCTTCCGTGTCGGGAGAAGCGGTTCCGGGTCACGCCGTGTCCACATTCCCGGGAAAGGCGGCCCCGCGCCGTTTCCGGTCGCACTGGGGCCTGGGGCTGCGGTGACGGCGAAGATTAAGGAGGGGCCTCTTGATTTCCATCGGCTTCTGCGGTTCCTGAGCGCCGCTACGGCAGTGCCACGCCGGGAGAGCTTTGGTCCTCCCCGGAGCCCGCCCTGCACTTTACAAGCCTATGGAGTCGAAGGGATGGAGGGGTTCTCGGCCTAGCATCTGCTTCCCTTCCCTACCCGGGACCTGTCATTTCCAGGACCCAGAGCAGCGTCTCAACCGTGGTGGACATGTCCCTTCTTTCGTAAGACGAATCCCGTCGTTTGCATCCCTGTCTTTCCATACATCCTTACAGCAAGTCCCCAGCCCTAAATCGGTCTTTTAAAACATCCCTTCAGAGTCTAAAATCTGGACTCTACACCTGTGGGGAGAGTGGGGAGGAAGGATTGCACTCTAAATCCACAACAAAGATAGTTTCTAGTTTCAGCTGGTTGCTGTCCACTGCTTGACAATTCCTTTACCCCAAAAATATTCATTCCAAGTCTGTCATTCTGCTCAATCCTGTTTTTGCCTCCCTGGCTCCTGCCCTCCACCCCTTACAAACCTAACAGGAAAAGGAGTCCATGCAGTCTCTCTCTCTCTCTCTCTCTCTCTCTCTCTCTCTCTCTCTCTCTCTCTC